GTTTTCCTAGGTTTGGGGAAGGTAAATAGATACGTATTTTCTTGACAACATCTTCTTTTGAAGTATTACCAGTTTTTGGTCTTGGGTAAGAGTTACGAGATAAAATGACATTAAATTTTTTACACCAGTAGAGATCTGGCTTAGTTGGTATGGATCCCCCCTGTTTAAGGGTTAGATACTCGGTAGGACAGAGGGATTCTTGAATTGATCTAACTTTTGAAAAGAGATTTTCTAGAAGTTTTAGTGACTGAGTATGAGATTCGAAGATCCCAGACATAAACTGATGTACTTCAAGGGCGTCAGTATCCAGAATTTGGGTTCCCGGTTCTCGGGCTGCCGGATTTGTGGTCCTCATCATTTTTTGTTTTTTAGAAAAAGAACACAACAAACACTGAGTTATAAGGTTTGAAAAAGGTTTATGAAAGTATTTTTTAGAAAAGGACAGAAGGGTGAGCGGAAGGCACTGGATAAGGAAAAAGTAAGTGGATAATAATAATAATTTTTTAGATACCTGATGAAGGTTTCAAAAAGAACGTGAAATAAAGAAACAGATCACGTAAGGAGAACAGCACACAAACTTAATTCAAGAAAAAGAGTTTTTTTTTTTAAAAGATGCTGCAAGTTTTAATTTTGAGGAGAGGATAAAGTCCGATCGGAACTGGGAAATCACAAGTTTATTTTGAATTTTTTAGAGGCGCAGTGGAAGCAAAAGATTTTTTTTTTTACGTAGACAGAACCACGCTCTGCTACCAGTTTTTTGTACGGTTTTAATCAGAAGAAATTAGAAAAGATGTTCAAGCCGTACACCTTGATAAATGTTATTGATGTAGCTTATTGATTATGATTTGGAACACCTTAAAAGATAATTACGTGGCAGATGTAAACTGAAGAATTTGACAAAAATGGAAAATATGAGAATAAATTCAACACAGCAATTGGCCGGTGCGCGAACCGACCAGGGATTCTCTCCCAAACAGCGCAAGCCTTTGTTCAAATCAACAGGTAAGCTTTACAAGATAAATATTCACAACAGTTTTTGACAGGAGAATATACACAACAGTTTCGCGGACTTGTAAGATATTTCGGAAAATACAAATTTCGAGAGCACAACGTAACGCTTCGCACGCAAAATTCGGACTGTGT